AAAGGCTGTTTCGCAGCAGCCTCCCCTGCTCCTTCCTCCCAGCAGCTTCTGTCCGTGAGGAGCTCGGACTGCCAGCAGACAGGGGCTGCTGCCACCTTGTTCTGCTGTCTCTGTATCAGAGTCAACAGTGTTGGGCAGAAGGCAGCTGGTCTGGTGGGGAGCTGTTTTTTAAACTGGCTCCCCTCTCAGACTATATCCGGCCTGGCATCTACAGAGGCAGTAGCATGAGGCGGCAGGGGGTCCCCCAAGAATGGGGGCAGAGCACACTGGCTGCTAGTCTTGCCCCCGGCAACTATACAATAGTCAACTAACCACTAAGAATTCATGCAGTTAGTCGACTATTCTATTACCCACTAACATTCCTAGTTTCCAGATGTTTTCATGTATCTCTTGGGGTGGGGTGCAGTTTGTGAAACCAGCTGAAGACAACCACTGTTTGTTTCCCACTTCTTAAACCGCTCCCCTGTTCCTATCCCTATTCTGACCCTGCACCCCATTGGCACAAGATGGTCTTGGAGTCTTTTTTTTTTTTTTTTGCTCAACAACTTTGGTTTCCCCCCCCCATTTTTTTCCCCTTCAACAGAATTTTTTCTCTGTGTTCTTTTTTTGGGGGAGGGGGAGAGAGGTGTTCGGTATTTTTGTTTCAACCATCTGGCAACCCTGCTATTAAGATGAATTAAAAAACTCCAACCCCTTTCCTTCTGTCCTTTGTCTCTAGGATCCCGTCTTCGCCAGGAGGACTTTCCACCGCGGATAGTTGAACATCCTTCAGATGTGATAGTCTCTAAGGGAGAGCCAACAACCCTGAACTGTAAGGCCGAGGGAAGGCCAACTCCTACTATTGAATGGTACAAGGATGGAGAGCGAGTGGAGACTGACAAAGATGACCCCCGCTCCCATCGTATGCTGCTCCCCAGCGGATCTTTATTTTTCTTACGCATTGTACATGGACGCAGGAGCAAGCCTGATGAAGGAAGTTATGTTTGTGTTGCAAGGAACTATCTTGGTGAAGCTGTGAGTCGCAATGCATCTCTGGAAGTCGCATGTAAGTAATCCAACATATGATAAACATCATCTAAAAACTTTTCATTTACTTTGATGCCAACATATAGCTTGCTTCTGCGGTACCAAGTTAGCAGATAATACATGTAAGTAAGCATGTCATTTTACCTTTAACTATTACTTGTAGACAAGTGGTTTCCATACATTCAATGCTAGTGACCAGGCAGAATATATGCTGTGTTACTATTCTAGCCTGTGTATAATCATATATGACACTAGCATACAGGAAACCTAGTTTTCCTTTAATGAATAGCCTAATTTTGAAACCATGGGTAAAGTTAGTTAGACTGAACCTAATGTGAAAAGTATCCGTTAATATATACGTGCCTTGTCTCTTTCTCCTTATTGAGTCATCTGTTACTTCTGCAGAAGTAGCCAGTTTCCAGTCTGGTGACTCAGATGCTGTACTGTTGAAAGCCTGAACCTCTTCAGAGTGCCTTTCTGCCAAAAACTCAGTGCAGATCTCATTCATTACGTGAATGGCATATGATAATTGTGAACCATTTCTCAACACATCTAAAATAGTCCTATTCCTATTGATCTGCCTTGTGTAGCAGTGAAGTCATCTTTCAGAGAATTTGAAATTAGTGAGACCCTCATGGATGAATGCTCTTCTTCCAAGGGAGCAAACTGAAGCTGGGTCATTTTATTTGCATGTTAAAGAAGCTTGTCTTTCACAGTTGCTATGTGTTAATTGCCCCTAATTAATTATCTGGGTTGAAAAGGAGATGGGACAGAAAAGTAAATTTCAGAGTGTAAAATGAAGTCACTAATGCTGGCTATGCATTTTCACACATGCATTTTTTAAATAAATGATTAAAAGCAAAGAACCCCCACAATTCTTTTTTTTAGACTTAATTTTCTCTACAGAAAGGCAGCAAGACCCTTTTTTCAGTAATCATTTCCCACTAAAACACTTTAACTTAAGCTCCATAGACTTCTGTGCTACTAAAGCATTTAAGCACTTTGGATGAAGAGGGCTGAACTTAAGAATGTACTTAAATGCTGACCTGGGACCAAAGTGTTTTGCATTCTACTTTATGTTTCTATGTGGCTAACATTTTTAATCTTCCAATTTCTAATTCCCTCAATTGTCATATAGCCACCCTTGTATGAGGGTAACAATGACCTTCTCCATGGCTGATCTCTTCTATAGTCTTTGAATAAACTAATGAGGAAAGTTCATATCCGAAACCACAGAAGTAACTGGAAGAACTTCTGGTTCAGTTTCCTTAAAAAAAATATCCTGTTTCAACTGGCTTATGTCTACAATGCTACATAATAGTTCATCTTGATAGTTTCTTTTCATATGTTACAGGAAGGACTTTCCCTTTAACTGTCAGGCGCCATGGAAGCTAAATAGTAGAGCAGAATGGGCTAGTGCATTACTGTCACTTCATATTGCCTTGTTCCCATTTTTTTTTTTTAAATCTCACATGAAAAGTAGTTTGTGGTATTCATTCACGTCTCCACTGAAAACTTCTCCATGACATAAAAACATTACATAGTTTTGCACCATTTAGGATTGTAGGTATTTTGGGCTGGAGAGAAGGATGGTCTTGAAAAAAACTGCCAAGCTACATAAAGAAACCTGAATTGCCCGCGTCTCCATACAACATTATTCAAAAATTACTTTTCCAAGCACTTTATTCACGTGCGAGTGTTAAGATCTCTAATGAGAGAGGTTATGTTGTCTTTATTAAAGTGGTTTTAAAAAATTTGCTTTCTTAACTTTCAGATTTTCCTGGTAAATGATGTTAGGTTTGAAACATCTACTGTCTGGATATAGAGTAGAAAAACTGGTGCAGTTGCTCCTTGTTTCATCACATCAAAATGATTGGTTGTTTCAAATTAAGAGGATGCTTTTATTGCATCAAATCTCACTGATCTCTACTACAATGACTGCTGTGAGTCTCTAGTTACGAACTGTTCAGTCTACCAAGTTACAATTTTAACCACTGCAGCTGGTGGCAGGTCATGCATGAACTAAAAGTCAGATAACAGAAGACTGTAAAAATAATAAAACCAGGTTTCATTGTAGATGGTGTTTTAGGGAAGGATCACAGAACATGAAATCTGAGAGCTGAAACCCTGGCCAAAGTTTCTGTAAAGGCATGGTGCACCTGACACCAGATTATTTTACTGTTTTTGTACCTTTGAAGTTTAATTGACTGAATTCTCCAATTAAACTCTTTGGGGATTAAAGAGAACATTCCTTGGCTGTTTCAATTAAATGGTGCTTTGTCTTTGCTTGAACTGAAACATAATGGTAGAAAAGGATGGTAGGAAAGATTTTAACCGTGTTCATTCTTGATTTAAAAGCAAGATTCTGCCACCCTTGCTCACTTTGGGAATAGGCCCTATTGATTTCATTGGACTGTGGACTCAGTAAAATACAGCCTTATTAATTTTGTGATCTAGACATCTTTCACAGATAAGGCAGCATTGCTTCAAAAGTACATAGTTATATTGAACACCTATGTAAATGATTTTTTTCTTCATGTACTTGAATGAGACACAACTCTTACTGGACACTAACTGCAAAACTACTCAACTCTCTCCAGTTTACTGTGAAAGTTCACCTATTTTTCTCATTCAAATGTCAACATTTTTATTCCCATGAATATAAAATAAATTTCCTAATGATTTTTAGACAGCAGATTTTCCTGGAGAAGCACTACACATCATAATTGTTTATACATTCTTACAGTCTATACAGCGCTGCATCGCTCAAAATAAGCTATGCAATTGGAGCTACGCAAATTGCGTAGCTTATTTCAAAATAGACAGCTATTCTGACAAGTCCCTTAATCCTCGTGGAATGATGTTTACCAGGATGTTGAAATAGCAAGCCTGTTATTTTGAATATATTTCATAATAACGGGCTTATTGCTAAGATGTGGAAAACGCTATTTCGGGATACCGGACGTATCCCGAAATAGTGCTGCTGTCTAGACATACCCTAAAAGTCTATCTCCATTAGAGCAATGGCCTGTTGCTGATACCTGTAGTCAGCAATGGGTGTCCCTGCACTGCTCCAGTTGCTGCATTGAAAAGTTTATCTGCTAGTACTGTTGGAATGCTACAGCACTGTTAAGAGAAAGCATATTAGGCCACATTCCACCAGGTCTCACTCAAGCAATCTATAATGGTGTTGAAAACTGCCTTCTCTACACTAGCTCTTAAATCTCTTTCAGCACTAGATAAAGAGGAGCTAGTGAGGTCCTTTTTCTGACAGCCATTGGCATAGATCATTTTTCAAATGTAGGTGGACCCAAATTGTAGCAAAAAGGAAGCTGCTGCTTTTCACTGATCTAAATATACTTGAATCTCTGATCTATTTTGGGATTAATTAATAATGAATTATTTAAATATCCATATTAAATTTTCTCTCTCTAAAAAAATGTGAAGTTGAACAATCCCTTTGAGAAGGGGCACTTTGCCAATAAAAGTTTGTTTTTATTAGTCTCACAAATTGCTGTTAGTAAAACTGTGCATGCTTTTGATCTAGGTGAAAATCAAAGTTACTAACTGGTTTATTCTTGTCTGCATTTTCTGCTGTTTTTTATAGGCGTCTATCAAAAAACACCATGATGATAAATCCTGGAACTTATTCATATTGAAATTCATATTTAGTTGAAATCATTCATATTTAGTTTAAATTTATATTTAGTTGAAATCATTAGAACTACAAAGGGCTATGATTTAAGAAAGTATCCCTCTTTAAGAAAAAGTTAAGCATGTGTGTCAGAGTTTTCTAAAGAAAACTAATAACATTTCTTACTCCTAAAGATTTTCAAAAATATTTTTATTTGATAGCATGTCATCATTGATGTGATAAATTTCAATCATGTTTTGAAAATAAAAGTGCTATTTTTCAAGGCAAAAAATTGACACACATGGAAGCATGGCGTGGAGGTTTCCAGTGGGAATAGAGGGAGACACATTTGCATAGCTACAGTAGGTAGGATTTCAGTTTCAAGCACTAGGCGCCACATGTAAGGAACAGAAAGAGCATAAGGGGTCCTCACACCGATTCTGGCTGGCTCTAATCTAGCCTGAGTCAGTGGCAGCCCCCAGAGATAACAGCTGTAGCCCCAGGTGTTAAATATGTGACAGCAGCTTGATCTATCGACCAGTGTAAGAGGGGGCTCTAGCCTAAATGAAAATTCATGAAAAATTGATGAAGTCCCCAGATTATTTTTTTTCCTTTTTCATTGCTGTGCCAGTGTAGTGAGGAGAGATTAAATGAGGTGTTGAATGCTTTAGTGGCAAAGAGGTTGCGGTTCAAAGGTTAGGGGTCATGAATAAAAAGATCATCTCCCTCCCCCATCTCTTGCTTTCTTCTAAAACAAAATACAAGCAGTTTTCAGATTAGCCAGGCTTATTTTTTCCTTTAATACCAAAATAATAATAAAAAAGGATAAATATTCAAAAGCAGGGGTATGTTTCAATAGAGGAGAAGGAGAGTGAAGTTTGGGGCTGATGCAAAAGAGTGAACAAGCTCTGATTCGTAATTCATTTGGGGAACCAGAAATAGATTGAATTCCACGACTGCAGTATAAATTTTGGCCTCCATCTTTCAGGGCTTGTGCTTGAACTGAAGTCATTAGGAGAAAGAAAAGGCCTTGCATTATTTATAGGTCACAGATTGCTAGAATAGCAAGCTTTGGAACACTTTCAAAACAAAATGGTCCTGTTTGCGTTAAATCCAAAACTAAATTGATGCTTTATCTATACAAATAAGAGAGGTTACAGCAGTACACAGAGATTAGCAAGAGAAGTTGCAGGTGTTCTCCAAAGTGAGCCAAATTTTTTACAAAAGAAATCTAATGTTAAAACATCTTTGTTTTATTTATAAAATGTGCATATTAAACACTTAGAGGCCTAAAATATATTGACTAAACATCATATATATATTATAAAAAATAATCACTTCAGATATCCTATGAAGCTCTTTTAGATGGCAACTACGTGTTGATG